ATTTTATTTTTTTCCTAACACCAAAACAAAGTAATAAAAAGTAAATTCTTTCTCCCCCCGATTTAATGGGTTTTTTTTTTATAAGGGAAGCAATAGTGTTTTCCAAATCAAGGGACGTTATGAGAACTAAAGGACAAAATGCAAATACATTTTAGACAAAAATTTACAAATTTTATAAACGTTGATACACTTTGTTTATTTTATGTAACGTTCATAATTGAAAATTAGTATTTTAAGTATATAAAATGAAAATTGTTTTGAAAGACTTTCAATAGTAATTAGATTATGAGCGCTTTAATAATCTAACCATTGAATCCTTTTTTTTCGTTTTTTCTTATATTCCTTTATAATCCACGACAAACATTTGACAAACATTTTACAAACAATCATACAGAATTGAACTTTATATTATATATATATATATATATATATATATATATATATATATATATATATATATATATATATATATATATATATATATATGTGTGTGTGTGTGTATTTATAAAAATATATATAAAGATATATGTGTGTGTTTGTGTGTGTAAGCTTGAGTGTAGTTTGATTTTTAAAAATGCAAGCATTCGATGTCGAGTGAACATCGTTGACGGGTTGACATCCGCAGCTCCGCTGGTGGTTCTGGGTTGATCAAAGAGTCAACTTCGTCCGATGCCTCGTCCCTCGCATTCACCTCATCCAGATGTGGGGCTGGCCTGACCATCACCTTGTCTTGTCCGTTCCGGGCGACCACCTCAGGCACGAAAGGCATTGCCTCCGGCCGAAGTCTAGTTGGGACCACCTTGATTGTCAGTTCCTCACCTTCAACTGCCTCACTGGTTGGGATGATCTCTCTCCGTCGCTCACCCTCCGCCACAGTGTTTTCTGAACTCGACATAGTATAGTCGAGTTGCTGCCAACCACGGCGGCGTCCACCACGTCGTCGGCCTCTCCTCCGGCGGCGTCTCCGACCTCTGCTTGTGTCATGTCTGTCTCCCAAGCGACGATCTTGCTCGCGCTGAGACTGACATTCATGGTGTGGCTGTCTACCCTCTTCACGCGCACCCTCCGGCTGCAACCCTCCTCCACGGCGGAACACCCGACAGCCGTACCTCCAGCCGTTAGGCGAGGTAACCTGAGCTGTGGTTGCTCGACACTGTGCTGATCTCGGTGGCGTTAACTTGTGCTGGGAGCTTAGCAGAACACGCATCAGCATCCGCTACCCGACGCTGATGGACTGGCGTTTCCCAGCTGCTGACCCCGAAGAGATGCTTGGAAGAAACTCTGCTTCCAGGACGGACTCCATCTTTGGGCTAGCTTCCCCTGTAAACCCGTCCGCGGGTAGAAAGTCGGTGAACTCATCCAGATCACTGTGTACTGGAGCACACACCTTTACCGTCACGGGCCGCTGCGCACTTGCGCATTCTAGCTCTGCCATCGTAGCCCTCAACTTGGCCAGCTCCTGCGACAACTTCAAGAACGTCGGATCGCTGTTTTCCATCCTACCTCCCAAGGTCAAGCCCCACGTTGGGCGCCAAATGTTACCCTCACTCAGTGGGGATGCTTTTACTCACCGAGGTGTTGTGGTTAAGACAGGCTGACCCTGAGATTAAGAACACACTGACCGACAGTTGTTGTCAAGTACTCGCTTTATTTACAGCATTGAGCCATGACGGCGATGCAATACAGTAGTACGACGATTTCAAAGAGAATATAATGAAGCAACAGGAAACCAAGAAAACAAAAAAACCAAACTGTAGCCCTTCATTAGGTCTACATCTTGGTCACCGTGTCCACAGACAGCATGCTTGCGTGTGACTGACACGGCTAGGCATGAAACTACCCAGTCCCATGACATGGAACACAGGTAACTTCGCTCACAAGAGCATGAAAAAAAAAACAACTACGTCAACAGGGCCACAGCCCCACAGGGGCCGCAACTCAATGAATTAAAACTTTATATTTTTCCCTCCCCTGGCTGGTAACCATATGTGTTACATATATATATATATATATATATATATATATATATATATATATATATATATATATATATATATGGGGGCCTTTGAGAATCACTGGGTTAAAGTGTAATGCCATAAAGTCATTGGCTATGGTTCTCGCCCTACTACAGAAGTCATGTGTCCTAGGGTTGTCATATTGGCTTGTCGTGTTATTCAGGTTGTCATGTTGATCAGACTTGTAATGTTGGCTTGTCATGCTGCTAGGGTTGTCAGGTTGACCACGGTAGTCATGTTTCACGGGGTTGTCAAAGTCATGTTGACAAGGGTTGTCATGTCAAATTTATAAGGTTGTCTTGTTGGCTTTTCATGTTTCCCAGGATTGTCATGTTGACTTGTCATGCTGCTAGGGTTGTCATGTTGGCCAGGGTTGTTATGTTGACCAAGGTTTGTCATGTTTGCTTGTCTTGTTGTTAAGTTTGTCTGGTTTCCCAGCATTGTCATGTTGACCAGGGTTGTCAGATTTCTCAGTGTTGTCATGTTGGCTTGTCATATTGTTCAGGCTGTCATGTTGACCAAGGTTGTCATGTTGGCTTGTTATACTGCTAGGGTTATGTTTCCCAGGGTTGTATTTGTAATGTTGGTGTGTCATGTTGTTAGACTGTTATGTTGACCAGGGTTGTCATGTTGCTAGGGTTGTCGCGTTGGTTTGTCCTACTGCTAGGGTTGAATTATTGGCTAGGATTGTCATATTAGCATGTTGCGGGGGTTGCCATCTTTGTTTGTGGCTATGAAGCTGCAAAGGTTTCCAATGTTCCAAGGCTGTCATTTCCTAAGTTTTTCATATGGCATACGATTGCCATAATGGCTGGGCTTGTGGAGGGTTTCCATTCTGGCTAGCTGTGTGAAGTTGTTGGATTTGTTAAATTGGCTTGTCATACTACTAGCTTTGTCATATTAGTTTTATCATGACGTGAGGGTTTGTCATCTTGGCAAAGGTTGTAATGCTCTCATTGTTCCAGGGTTGTTAGGTTTGTCAAACTCGCTAGGTTAGTTTGTTGCTAGGGTTCTCTTGATGGTTAGAGTTGCATACAGGCTAGTGTCATCCAGTTGCCTAAGGTGTTCACCTTGGTTGCGGTTGTCATATTACCTAGGGTGGTCATGTTGAAGATTGTCAAGTATACCAGAGTTATCATGTTCTTACCTTTGGTACTTTTTGTTTTTAGATTTTACAACCGTTATCTTTGATGTATTTCATTCCTCTCTTAATACTGTAATGACATTTAGAGACTCGACTTTTAAGCTATATAGGCAAACAATAGACTACTATAACTACACACTATATTATTTTTACATTTTAAAATTCCTTATTTTACAACGAAGTCCCTTCTGTCAAAAAAAGAAGTTCTGGGTTTGATTTAGAATTGTGGGTTAGGATTAATGGTTTGTGTAAGGTGTAGGAGGATAATTTTATTTTTCTATATGAAAGTTTTAATTATATAAAATCATGAGCTTAATTTATAATTAGATATTAAAGTGTAAAGTATAATTAGCAATTAAAAGTGTGATCAAAGCATGTACAAACGGAAATATATTTAGCCTGTAAATAGCTGCAAGACAGAATATCCAGACAAATATGCATTAAATATTATTGAAACAATTAGATGAGCGAAATATTGGATATTATGATAGGGACTATTAGTTTTATTGTCTTAGCATAGTTTTTGTATTCTGTTTATTATTATAATATTATGAAGCTAAACAAATCTAATTAAAATGTAACTAGTTTCAAAGAATTATTCTAAAAATTTAAAATCTGAAAACTAAATTCAAAAGTAAACATTGTCCTTTGAATTACACAGCAATAATGCTTAAAAGCATGTTAACTTTTACTATGTGGTTTACTCTGTTGTAGTATATAAGTTTTGCGTTCTCCCCTTTAGAGTGAGTAAAATAAAGATCACACTCAGACCTGGCGACTCACAGGGCAGGTGAAGTAAAGTTCACCAGTTTCAGTAGCCTCAACATACAAAGGGATAGAGTGGTCAGTACTGTGCCCCGCCTAATTGGACGATGCCATAGAGTGGCAAATTATTGATCATTATATAATAAAAAATTGAACAGTATATAGGCAACAATCGCCTTGAGGAATGCTATACATTATATAAGGAAACCTCCAAGTACTAGAGTGGTAGGATTGTATGTGCAGCCTACATCTGTTGCAGTTTTCACTGGTATTTAAATCAATAGTTAGACAATTGATAACCATTGTCCTCATAATGAGAGATGGATTTAATCTGTTAATTAAGAACTGGAGTAAAGGATTTTTATACTGTTTTTGGTCCTTTCAACTTTCAGCTAATTTATTTTGCATCATATTTTTATAATAGCGCTTGGAAAAAATGAAACTGTTGTGCAATAGTAATAATGGTGAGAAATTATTGGCAATGGATTTTTTTTTTAACCACAATGCCTTGGTAGATTCAAAACATAAAAAAAGGACACCTAACATTGACATACAGCTTGACATATAAAGGTCCTCATATCTCAAATAGCTTAAGGCCCTAGTAATCCTAAATCTTTCCTCTATATACCATTTAACTTGCTCTCAATATTGTGTTACCCTGATGACTTTTACAAAACATGTTCAATTTAACTAAAACTTTTAATAAAAGTAGCCAGAATGTACTCAGCACCTACATACTAACTCAGCTACACAAAATGAACAAGAAAAGCTTGATATTTTTAAAAATTTAAATGCTAACAGTAAAAGTCAAACAAATAACAAGAAAAAAAATTTGAACAATAAAATAAGATTAAAAATGGTCATTCACTATACAGGACACTTCAGATGACACTGGAAGTGATGCTTATATCATAGAGATAATTTCATTTGGGGGCTCTCTTTGCTGGTTGGCATTATGTGAAAGATCAGAAAAACCTTTACCACACTTGTTTTTACTCTGGTTGAATTCTTAGGTGTCTTGTGACAAGGCTAAGTTCCCTAAACAATTTGCCACATTAGTCACACTTCTAAGGTTTTTAACTAGTATGAATTTTATGGTGTCTCAGTAAATTGTAAGCCCGAGAGAAACATCTACCACATTTGTCACACTTGAAAGGTTTTTCACCTGTATGAACTCTATGGTGTCTCAGTAAATTTTTAGATTCTGTGAAAACTTTACCACATGTGCTACACTTGTAAGGTTTTTCACTAGTATGAATTTTATGGTGTCTCCGTAAACTGTAAGCCCAAGAGAAACATCTACCACATTTGTCACAGTTGAAAGGTTTTTCTCCTGTATGAACTCTATGGTGTCTCATTAAACTGTTAGATTCTGTGAAAACTTTACCACATGTGCTGCACTTGTAAGGTTTTTCTCCAGTATGATGTCTATGGTGAATTTTTAAATTTGAGATATGTGTGAAGCACTGACCACATATATCACACTTGTAAGGCTTTTCTCCTGTATGAATTCTATAATGATTACTTAACCTTGCAAGTCGTGTGAAACATTTCCCACATGTACTACACTTGTAAGGCTTTTCTCCTGTGTGAATTACATTGTGTCTCTTTAAATCAGAGAAAGACATAAAACATTTCCCACAAGTGATACACTTGAAAGGTTTTTCTCCTGTATGAATTCTATTGTGTGTCTGTAAAATGGAGAAGAATGCAAAACATTTTCCACACTTATCACACATGTAGGGCTTTTCACCAGTATGAATTCTATGGTGTTTCTGCAAAGATGTACTTCTTGTGAATTGTTTATCACATTTGTTACAATAGTAATACTTTTGTGCTAAATGAATTTTACAGTGGTTCTGTAAATTGGTCAGGAGTGTAAAACATTTACCACATTTATCACACTTGAAAGGCTTTTCACATGTATGAATTCCACAGTGTTTCTGAAACTTTGATAGCTCCATGAAGCATTTGCCACATTTGTCACACTTATGAGGCTTAGAATGAATTCTTAAGTGGGTCAGTAGAGTGCTCTTTTTTGCAAAAGATTTACCACATTTGTCACAATTGTATGGTAATTCACCTGTGTGAATTCTAAGATGGTTGTTCAAAGAAAGAATTGTAGATAACCATTTATCACATTTGTCACATTTGTAAGGCTTTTCCAAATTTTGATTTCTCAGGTGCATTTTCAAGTAAGTAAGCTGTGAAAAACTTTTATCACAGTTGTCACATTTGTAAGGCTTATCATCTGAATGTATTTTATCATGTTGTTTTAAGTAGTCACGATTCTTAAACCATTTACCACATTTGTCACAACTGTAAGGCTTTTCTCCTGTATGAATTTTAATATGTCTTTTTAAGGGTAGACACCACGGATAGAATTTTTTTTTTAATTTAACACATTTCTGGGTATTTAATAAGTACATATGTTAGTAGTTGTTAAACTATTGACAAAAATAATATGTGGCCGTCAATAGCAGTACTGGTTGCCATGGGAACCGCGAAAAGGTGTGAAAACTAACACCTTTTCAAATCGCTAAGGCTTTGTTCCCATAAGCAATTTTGTAAAGCGGATGAAAGATTTAGATTTACGAAACCAAACTATACATTTCTACGTTTGTTCATTGCGATAGCTTGTACTCAATTTTTATTACAAATGTTTACGTAAATTTAAGTACAAAAATTAGGGGGTGGTATAACATAAGTATTGATCTTTTCTAAAGTATTGTAGTAAACTTAATGTACAAACGTAGTTTTGTAGATGGTATAATGCTAAATGCATGTGGAATGTTTCAGTGCTGTAAGACTAAGGGTTCCAAAGCCTTAGCGATTTGAATGTTGAATTTTGAGTAAAAATGCAAAGTTGAGAAAACGTGAAAAGAAAGGCAGAAAAAGGCACTGTGCGTTTCCTCTTATAGCAAACAGAAAATGACTTCTTGTTATGTGTGGAAGAACCATTTGGCTAATAAAATACGCGTTGATTCATGTTGTAAGTTTTAGATAGATTTTTCTGCGTAAGCAGAAAATATGCATACAACAGATAATAAATTAATGACTGTTAAGTCTTAAACATCCTATCATTTGATTGTTATTCTCAGAACAGCTATCATCAAACCAGATTAAGTTTTGTTTGTTAGCCGGTCTTCTCACGTCAATAGAATGTCTATTGTAGCTTACACAAGTTTATTGCCTTATGATAATAGCCTACTACACAACGCTGGGTACAACGCTTGAGGTTAGACACGCCCCTTCACCCCACCCCACCGCTGGATAGTGCGTGAAGAACCGATGAGCCATAGATTACCAATGTTCATTCAACCGTGAATAACACGTCTGTGTAGATAGGGTCAAGTACAAGGCCTAAGTGAAAGCTTATCAGCTTTTCCATCTAGTATTTCCATTCGTTGCTAGCAAACCATGTACGGAGAGATGGGCGGGCATACACATTAACACATGTGTCGTATACAGTCCGGTGTAAAGCCTGATGAACGCGTTCAAGCCTATCACAGCATGCCGTAACAAGATTATAAAACAGCCGTTGGTTGAATGGCGAGAAGGGGATGAGGGGGATAAAGGGGATGGACTTAGTATTACTACATTCTTCAAACTGATAGACATGTCCATGACGCATTGTTTCAGCTTAGTATAATAAAGCGTACGAAACAGTGTTAATAGTGTTCCAGTGACAATCAACAGAACATTTGTTGGTAAAGTTTCAATTATTAAACTTAATGTTGTTCTATAACTTTAAAACAACAAATAGAAGATATACGCTAATGATGTAAACAAACAAGACAGGTGATTGTTTTGTTTATCTAGAAACAAGATGGCTGCCTAGCACACGTGGTTAGTTGCAACCTATCGCAGATTATTTTGATTTACTGTACTATTGTATGATTGGTCAAACGTATCAATGTATCTCTTCCCATTCATAATTTTTACGCGCATGCCCATATATGGACTTTGACATCAAATTTTACTTGGTAGAAAACAACGTTTATCCCACTTATTTGTAGAACAAAAGAAAAAGTCACTACACCAGCGGGTACACGAGTGCTTGGCCCTTAGATTACTGTAAAGTTTATGGTGCCTCGCGGGCAATAAATGATGTAATACTCCCTCGAAGATAGCCGCTGTCCACGTAGTAGTGTGAAAACTTGCCGGGGGGTACCATGTTTCACATGGCAATAAACGGATAACCGTAAGGCGTAGAAGTCCGAAATGTTCGGGTTAGATAGATAAAAGGTATTAGTACCGAATTAAGAAATAAAAATTTTGGGGGGCAAAATTATTTTTTTATCGAAAACATGGGTATCTTGTATCCTTAAATCCCAAAATGCTGTAAAACATTTACCACACGTGTCACACTTGTATGGTTTAATTCCATTATGAACTCTGATGTGTCTAAGAAAGTTTGATGAATCTGTAAAATATTTACCACATTTGTCACACTTGAAAGGCTTTTCTCCTGTATGAACTCTATGGTGTCTCAGTAAACTGCCACATTCTGTGAAACCTTTACCACATGTGCCACATTTGTAAGGTTTTTCTCCAGTATGATGTCTATGGTGATGCTTTAAATTTGACAACTGTAAGAAGCTTTTACCACATGTGTCACACCTGTGAGGCTTTTCTCCTGAATGAATTAGAAGGTGTCTCTGTAAACATGAAAACTGCAAAAAACATTTACCACATGTGTCACAAGTATAAGGCTTTAATCCTGTATGAGTTTTAAGGTGTTTCTTTATTTGGTATAGCTTTATAAAATATTTACCACATATGTCACACTTGTAAGGCTTTTCTTCTAAACGATTTCTAGGGTATTTTTTTGATTGGTCAATCTTTGTGTCACACTCATTAGGCTTTTTTTCATTGTGATTTCTAAGATGTTTCTTCAATTTGCTAAGCTTTGTAAAATATTCATTACATATGTCACACTTGTAAGCCTTTTTTTCTATAAAAATTATAAGCTGTTGATAAAAATTAGATGCTTGGAAAGAATCTTCACTATTTTTAGGAGTGAGACCTAGACTCCTATTGGCTATTTTTTGCCCTCCATGTTTGAATTTTAAATGTGCCTTCAAAAAGGAAACATTTGAAAATGCCACTCTGCAATATTGACATGGATAGAGATCTGTAAAAAAATAATATTGAATTAAAATTTGTTAATGTTTAATTTTTTTTGTAAGTTTTTATTCTGTTTATTTGATCATGCTTTTAGTGACAGTGGACACATTAACGACTGAATACTATATTGGACACAGTGATGACTAATTGATACAGTGGACACAGTGATGACTAACTGATACAGTGGACACAGTGATTACTAACTGATACAGTGGACACAGTGATTACTAACTGATACAGTGGACACAGTAATGACTAATTGATACAGTGGACACAGTGATGACTAACTGATACAGTAGACACAGTGATGACTAACTGATACAGTGGACACAGTGATGACTAACTGATACAGTGGACACAGTGATGACTAACTGATACAGTGGACACAGTGATGACTAACTGATACAGTAGACACAGTGATGACTAATTGATACAGTGGACACAGTGATGACTAAGTGATACAGTAGACACAGTGATGACTAACTGATACAGTGGACACAGTGATGACTAATTGATACAGTGGACACAGTGATGACTAATTGATACAGTGGACACAGTGATGATTTATTGATACAGTGGACACATTGATGACTAATTGATACAGTAGATAGTGATGATTTATTGATACAGTGGACTCAGTTGTGACTGATATAGTGGACACAGTAAGGACATCAGACATGACAAGTGAACTACATAAAAACTACAATAAAGAAGACCAAAAAATCATATCATGGAGATAAGATTAGGTTGTTGTTTGCCTACATTTTAAAGCTGTTGCATTGATATTGATGGCTGCAAGCAATGAGCAAGAAAATTCTAAGATGTCCCTGATTAGCTTATAACAATGAACAATTAGTGTTTGCAATGCACTTTCCATCTACAGTATTTTTTATCATTTTGCTGGTAACAAGTAGCAGAAGATCATGTAGGCCCTACATTTTTAAAACTTTGGCAACTGATAGAAAATCAAGTGCCCTGACATAATGAATTAATTTCAAATCACTTAAAATATCTCTGCCCCTGAAAAACAAACGAGTGAAAATAATAAACTTGACTGAGGGAACAGCAAACACTAATCACGCCATTCGTCCCAACATGTATTTGAATGCTGAATGGATAAACATTCCACAACAACACTCCTTAAAATTAACCCATCGTATCACTCAAAGTATCACAGCCATTTAAAAGCAAACAAGATTTTAAAAAAAAATCCTTTCCTAGGCTACTGATCAATTCTGTTAATTAGAGTTAGAACCTTTCTTCTTTCTTCTTCTTCTTCGTTCTTAATTGAGAATATGGTGGAGGATTCAGACAACAAGTCCAACTTCGTGAATAAACTGAACTGTGGTCTCCAGTTTGGCAGGTGCCCCATATAATTTTTCCCAGAGTTAGAACCAAATTAAAGATATATAAATGTAGTTTTTAATTGTTTTAGTCATCTTAAGCAATAATAAAGCTAAAAATCTTATGCCACACCCTAGATAAGATGTAGGTGCTGGGTGAATTTGCCCAGTGTAAAGCATAAGGATATGCATCAAACAGTCATTAAACACCTTAGACATAACTTGCATAAAAAACTTTAAATAATTGATTAAATTGATTTACCACTAGCATTGCTCTCCATTTTGATCAAACTGTTCTTGTTTACAACATCAACCCTCTGTAAATAAATACACAAGTCTCTGGCATAGCTGTCACCAAATTACACCTGAAAATGTCAGAATACTGTTTTATACTAGTCAACTCAAACATTGCTGTCACCATTTCATTTGCATGATGGTTTTGTATTTCAAAAGTCTTATGCCTAGTTGGTTGGCATGTGTATGCTGAGGTACCACCCTATGTGAAAGGGCGTGTATATATATATATACATATATATATATATATATATATATATATATATATATATATATATATATATATATATATATATATATATATATATATATATATATATATATATATATATATATATATATATATATATATATATATATATATATATATATATACATATGTGTGTATAATTTTACAAAATAGCATAAGAAATTATCCGGTAACATTTGTTGTATTTCGTACAAATTAGTTATTTAATTTTATTTTACTAGTGAAATATAAATAAAAAAGAGTGTACTAATTAATGTTTAAAGTTCAATTTACATAAGGAAACAGAAATTAAAATGTTGTACAATTAGGCCTATTGTAACTTTTTATTATTTTTATCTATTTCAATCAGTAGCTTTTTTAAATTTAAATAATTTACTTATTGAATGTTTAGATTTAGATCTTTGATTTATCCAGTTAAAAGATAGGCTTAATATATTAATTTATTTCTATTTCGTCCAGCCACATCTATAATCTAACTAGATCTAGAAAGTCTAGATTACATCTAGAGTTTCTTGAGAGTACATAAGACTAGACTGTCACTGGATTCCAAATCGAGACCTAGGAATCTTGGTTGTCTGACTTTACTATTTATTAGTATTTAACTAGATTTAGACTCTATACTTGATCTATATCTAGAATCTATAAAATAACCTATTCTACTAAATTAACTTAGATCAATGATTATTTCTTAGATAGAGTTATAGGTAGATCTAGTAAAGTTCCCTTTTTAACTAAGCCCAGCCGACTTTGCTATTCCTAACGTGAGTTAGGTACCCATCAGAGTTGGGTGGACTCAGGGACGGTCTATTGACATAAACCAGATTTGAACTCGAGACTTACCGGTTAGCAGTCCAGCTCTCTATCGCTAGACCACTCCATCCCACAGATCTATAGTATAGTATAGAGATCTAAAAAATTTAAAAAAAAAAACAATCTATGACATCTAGAATCTAGATTTAGATGTCGATCTAAAATAATGTAAAATCTAGATTTAGATCTCGAGAGATATAGATCTATATTTATTTAGGTAATCTATTGTCTTAGAGGTGCAAAAAATGTGCATATCAATGTGCGAAAAAGTTGCCTCATTATTAAGTCTTCAATAGAAGTATATTGATATATTAATATATTGTGATGTATTTGTGTCAAATATTATAGATAACTGAATAATAAACCAAAATCAATGGCTATATAAATTATATATCAATAAAGGCCAGAAATTAACTTTAAACAGCAGTGTTTCGGAGCAAGATTTGTTATATATTATAGTATATAAACAGCAGCCATCTGTAAGTTAAAACAGTTTCCCTGGACCTCTAACTATAATTTTACAAGATGGCTGCTAAAATAAATGAGCTTGGTTTCATCTAATAAAAACATCGCTAGTCTTTATTAATTACTGAACTGATAAGTTTAATAAGTTTTAATAAGATTATTTAAAAACAGGGTAATCTATCGTTTTGGGTACGTAAAATCGCCCGCTGCTATTAATGTACGAAAACGTTACCTCGTTGTTAAGGCTTTAATAGAAGTCTATAGTCATATGTTTGTGTCAAATATTATAGATAAATGAATAATAAACCTAAATCAATGGCTAAATATATCGATATAGGCCAGAAATTAACTTTAAACAGCAGTGTCTGAGAGCAAGATTTGCTATATAGTATATAAACAGCAGCCATTTGTAAAATAGAGTGGCTTCTCCCTGAATCTGGCGCTATAAGCTTATAAAAATAAAACTTAAACAAGATGGTTGCTATAGTAAATGAGCATGGCTGCATCTGTTGGAAACATCGCTAGTCTTCATTTATTACGGAAAAGTTTTTATTCAATTGTTTAAAAACAGGTACATAAATGAAACAAGGAAACATTTTTGTATTTAAAAAACAAATCTTCCTCAAAATGTAAAATAATTATTAAAATTTAAGGAGTCACCTGTTTTTCACATTACAAGTCGCGTGCGATTTTACGTACCTAAAACGATAGATTACCAAAAACAGGTACATTAATGAAACTTTGAAACATTTTTGTAACTTTCAAAACGTAAATCCTGCTAAAATGTTAAATAATTAGACTAAATTAGTAATTAGATCTATCTAGATCTAGATTTTACGTACCCAAAACGATAGATTAAATTAGATTACCCTAGATCTAGATCTAGATCTTAGTTCTAGATCTAGATCTACTAAAATTTAATGAGTCACATTTTTTTCACTTTACTAATAGATCTAGATTCTAGATTCTCTAGATCTGCTAGCCTCCGCCGATTTTACGTAACTAAAACTAAACCGATAGATTACCCAATCATCAAAGGATAATTAGATCTAGATCTAGATTATTTGCTAAAGACTTCAGCTGCGGGATTACTAATTAATATTAATGAATATTTATATCTAATGTCTAATATATATTAGTATGGTTTAAACATTTTGAATGTTGAAAGTTGTAGAAGCGCCATAACTTGCCTGATTATGTACTCGCTACGTTTAGATCGCTTCTCGGAACGATGGCAAAAGTGAGATCCATGACCGAATCCGTAAAGTCGTAAAGCTATCGATAAATAATGTTAATTTGTTCAGGATACTTGTTTAATAAGGCTTTTAATTATAATTACTAAAAAAATTAGCTATCTGTTTTTTATCAATAAAATATTTTTAAATCTTTATAATATAGATCTTTAAAATGTTTACAATAAATTGAAATTAAATTGGCTTTTAAGTAATCGATACTTATTGTACACTCAAAATTGGACTGCCGCTTTACTTTACTTTAAAGGGATGTAACTTTTATTGAATACTAGCAGCAGATACCGGATACCTACCTTTTTATTTGAAATCAATATTTTATATGCAAATATGGACGATTGAGGAAATATTATTAATGGACACCAGCGAGTTGACGAAATTCCTTCCGTAATGTTGTCTACATGGAATAAAAATGTGCTTTTTTAGATTTAGGACCATAAAACTAATAAAAGATACAATTTTATTAAAAACTTAAGCCTAAAATTAATTCAGAAATGTAATATTTTTAGAATCAATGATA